GCCCCCCCCCCGCCGCCACCGGAGTTGCTTAGAAAGGCACAGGGCAGGCCTGGGGCTCTTTTCTTTTATAGGGGGGGGGGTCTCTTATAGGGGGTGCTCAGCCCCCCATATATCAAACCCTGGACCTGACCCTTCACTGAGGAGTGATCCGTTGGAAAGGAAAAGCAATGGGCAGCCTTGGGGGTGTAGAGGTGGCTTAGCCGAGAGCAGCGGTTCCCAAACTGGCAGATTGCGTACCACCAATTTAGAAGGATACATACAACCTTCCGTCTCACCAGCAAATTTTTCGGTTCAACCTTAAGTACCACCAGCAATTTGTTGTCATATAAATTATAATAAATTTGTTCACGCATACCACTGACCGGTTGTGTGCGTACCACTGGTGGTGCGCGTGCCACAGATTGGGAACCGCTGCCGTAGAGGGTAGGAGGCTGAAGGAAAGGGTATCTGAGGGAAAGGAGTGGCTGTGTATGGACCTGGGGGATGCAGCAGCCAGATGTGCGGGTAAGCGGCTAGGGGGTAGCATCGATAACTGATGGCTCCAGAGTGCAGAGGGCCTGGGGGTGAGGAGGAAAGCGGTGCAGCGCCCAGGGGTGAACAGCAGCAGCTCCTGTCGGGGTCGCCAGCCACTCGGAGCAAGGCACAGTCCGCACCTGGTAAAGCCCAGCCCCACAGTGCCCATGACATCCCCAGGCCCCGGACAAGCACCGCCACCGCACGCCAGACCCCCCCGAGATGCTGCCCCGCGAGCCCCAAAGCAGCGAGGTCTCGCCGCCCACACGCTGCGCTGAGGACACGGGCTGCGAGCGGCGCTGCCAGGTCTTGCATCTCACATGATGGTCTTCAATATGAAATGGTTGCATTGGAAGCTCAAAATTCTTGTATTGGCTGAAAAACGATCTATCCTTCACTGGGAAACGAGGCAAATCGGTATGCAAATAAGCACGTGCAGACGGTCATCTTGTTTACTTTATATTTACTTCTTATTTCCTCGAAGTTGCTCACTATAAGCCGCCAGCGAGCGAGCGAAAACCCTGTCAGCCAAGCGGAAACGTTTTCATTTGGAGACAAAGAGTCACTCGAAAGCACTGCCAGCAAACCCAAAAGTCGGTTGAGACGCTGAAAGTGGTGGGCTTTTTAGCATCGAGGAGCTGCCTCCGAATGATTGGACTTTATTATTTATTTATTATTGAAAAAAAATAATTACGAACTTTCATTTCTACCCAGGAGAACTTTTGCAATCTTTTCTCCGATGACAAAGGGTGTTTATGCCCAAAAGCTTGCCATGAAACATTTGGGGGCTGGGTTTTTTTATTTTATTTTTTTGCAAATCTTGTTTTTGTTGATTTTTTTTTTTTTTTTTTTTTTTGCAAAAATCCTTTTGGTTTTTTGTGTGTAAAAATCTTGTTTTTGTTGTTTGGGGTATTTTTTTTGCAAAAGTTGTTTTTGTTGTTGTTGGTGTGGGGGGTTTTTTGGGCAAAAATCATCTAGTCCTGATGGTCAGAAATGATTGTGCACGCTTGTACGACGATGGCTTGTTGTAGGAGGGCGCGCGCGCGCGCACACACACACACGCACACACACCCCCCCCAGGCAGTGGGCGGGGCCTCTCCGCGAGGGGCGGGGCGCCGTTCTCTCGGCGCTGTCCCATTCAGATGGCGTCATCAGTGTGCGCTGCCTGCCCTGCATCACCCTTCCGCGTCTCGTTAGCGTTGGGTCTCCCCGGCCGCCCCGCCCCGCCCCCACCGTGGCGCCCCGACGCTGAGGCACGCCTGCCCC